AATTGTCCGGGTGCCTCTGTCCCCCACACAGGCAAGGCAGATGACCGAAGGCTAAAAATACCAGGAACAAAAAATGCCACCAAAGGGTTGTCTGGCTGTCTGAGGCTAGACCCGACCACTGGGCACCCCGGGAGTGGTGAGAGCTGGGGTCCAGGTCCCCAAGCCCTGGTGAGAAAAAGCACAATGGTGGAGCCTGACATTCTGAGTTCAGATCTGACAGGCACTGGCAATGGAGCCCTACAGAGTGACCCCTCTTCCGAGCCTCAGTTTCCTCATCTGAAAAATGGGCCCAACACCTTCCTCCCAGTGTTGTGAAGATGAAACAGATGGTGGGTAAAGCACTTAGCGCAGTGCCTGTCACACAGGAAGCTCTAGATAAGTGGCACAGTGATGATTTGATTTCTTTGGGGGCCTCAGTGTGGCGAACTCACAGAGCAGTGACAGGGTGGTGGCCGTGGCGGGTAGGCTCACTTTCCCCAGTCCTTGTTACCTACCCCCAAGGATCCAGCACAAGCCTAATATCCCCTCCAGGACTCAGCCAGCCTGTGTGTCCACCTCAACCATGAAGCTGTCACTGAAGGCAGGACCAACGCCATGGAGGAGAGGTGCCCCGTACGTGTCACGGAGCACCTTCCCAAGAACTCTGCAGGAGGGACCCGGAGGGTGGGGCGGGGCTGGGGTAGGAAATGAGGCTGGAAAGGCAACTGTTAATAACCACAACCACACACACACACACACACACACACACACACACGTGAACTCACCATGCGGGCACTCTGCCCGGCACCGTACAAAGCCATTTACACGCACTGCATGAGCGGTAACCGGGAGAGCACTCAGAGCAGTGCCCCACAGGGTAAGCACACAGTGACTGTTAGCTACTATCGTTAGTATCACAATGATCTGGGTTAACTCCAAAGACAATCTCCTAAGGTCAGCACTATTGTCTCCCCGATTTACCAAGCAAGAAATCTGAGGTTCAGGGTGGTTACGTTACTTGTCCAGGGACCCACAGGCAAGGAAGTAGAGGCACCATTCCGGTAGGTCAGGGTCAAGTGGCAAAAGATCTTAACTATCAAGCCTAGGAGGGGAGATTTTCTGAGAGAGAGGGAACCACTGAGTGTCCTGGAACCTATGCGGGTCACCAGCAGAGCTGGGTGTGGGGGAAAGTGTTTGGAGCATATTGGAGGCAGGAGAGGGGAGGCCGCAAACCAATCAAGAGCTATGACCGTAAGTCAGGCCTGAGCAGGACAGGGGCGGGCAGGAGGAGGAGGGGAGATTTGAACACATTTTAGAGGCGGAATAGTTAGAATTTGTTGCCAAAAGGGCAGAATCAAGGTGGCTGAGGATTTGGACCTGGGTGCTTAAGAGAGCAATGAAGTCAGTAATAGAGAGAGGGTTGGCAGCCGGCGCTCGGGGTGAGAGCTGGCGTTGACCGAACTCACTCTGCCCGGCAGTGTCCTAGCACTTTCCGAGTATTCGTTAACTCATCCTGCCTGCAGAGAACGCTCTGAGGTAAGGCCCACTACTGTCCCCATTCTGCAGGTGAGAAAACCGAGGCACGGTCGGCCTATGTCGCTTGTCCGAGTTTCACCGGGTACACAGTGGGTGCCCCATGGGTGTGGGTGGCTGACCCATCTGCCCTGGGTACGAGGCCTAGTCCACGGACTGGGGAAGCTGCCTTCCCCACTTGGCAGCTCTCGCTGACACCTGGGGGCCCTGACACAGGGAGATAAGCGCTATCACTTGGTGACAGAGCCTATCGGTCGCCCTGCTTTGGGCTGGCAGGGCCTGGTATCCTTTATTCCGTCGGAGATGGCTGACTTCACCTCCCTCCTTAAAGGGGCATCACCCCAGGCAAGCTGACCCGCTAAGTCAGTTACTACCAAAAGTATCACGGTAAGCAATCCTATGGCACTTTCCTAAATATTAATGTTACTAAATTCACTTCTCATGTACTGATATCACTGTATGAACTCATTTGATTTGCTGAAGAATTTTACAAAACCGCCATCGAGAGAAGGGTTTCCCTTTTACCTTACAAGGTAGGACATGACGACTTAGACGCAAGGTCAGGGACCTGAAGAGGAGGGCACAGATCACGAAAGTATGGCTGGTGCCCTGGCTGGTTTGGCTCAGGGGTTAGAGCCTGACCTGCGGTCAGAAGGGTCCCGGGTTCAATTCGGGCCAAGGGCACGTACCTGGGTTGCAGGCTCCAACCTGGCCTCTGTTGGGGGGTGTGCAGGAGGCAACCAATCGATGTGTCTCTAATATCAATGTTGCCCCCCTCCCTTACCCCCCTTTCTACTCTCTCTAAAAAAACAATCAATGGAAAAAATATCCTCGGGTGAGGATTTTTTTTTAAAAGTATGGCTGGTGAATCTTCCCAAGCATAACTTATCTGTGTAACTAACCAGCACCCAGGTCAAGATACATCCCAGGGCCCCAGATGACCCCCAATTACTCCTTGTTTTTCTCAAATTATGATTTAACTGTCATTCTATATGTAGTATATACATATGTATACATATATATATATATTTTTTTATTTTTGCTAAGCCTGTCAACGCACCCCTAATGGCCCCGCACAGTTACTACCTCCCACTGTCCTAACAGCAGAGACTCATTTTGCCAGTTCATCCGTGTATCATTTTGAGATTTAAAATGTTAATGTTTACTTTGGAAAAATATCAGGAGCAGTGATCTGCAAATCGGGAATCACAGGCTTACAGAAATGCAAACGTTCCTTACCTGTCTCCTCTCCATCCACCGCTCCTTCGATTACACTGAAAACACGGCGGGCCGGGGCAGAGGCCTTGGATCCAAGTTCAGACGGAGGTCCAGACCCTGAGACGCTGCAGGCCAGGCTCCCAATGGTCGGTGGAAAGAAGGCTGTCCCCATCCACAGATTCCCCCTCCGCCTGGATGGGCCACATTTTCCAGGCCTGAGAAAAGGTTAGAAACTTCCTGGTCCCAAGTGGAGGGGCGGGTGGCTCCCAGGCCTAGCGGTCAAGCACCCCATAACCATCACAGTGGCTCCCGTTTATCACGTGCTCACGACGCGTTTATGCGACTTAATCTTCCTGACACCCCCAGGAGGTGAGCGCAACTATCATCCCATGTTACAGACGAGGAAACTGAGGCTCAGAAAGGAGAACACACCTGCCTAAGTCCACGCCACTGGCCTGGATTCACACCTTGGTTTATGTGATTCCCAGGCCCTCAGCAGCCACACGAGGTCATTTTGAAGACAGTAAGAAGGAAATATGTTTCCTGTCCTCAATCAGACGATGACGGACACCTCGGGGTGCGGGACTTGGGGTCTGTGGGCCGCAGCCCCCCGTTCTCGGCCTCCTCGTCCCCGGGGGGTGACCACGAAAAAGCCGGATGCCGGTCAGAGTCTTCCCACTGCAGCTGTGTTCTCTCCGCCAGGAAGTCCGCCAGGTTTTCCCTTTAATCCTGGAAGCTGGTGAGTCCTGCAGATTCCCTTCCACCTCTGCTGCAAAAATAACGAGGCAGGTTGGAATTGCAGGGGGTTGGGGGGTTTTCCCGCCAGAAATACACGGGCTCTTCTTAGCGGGGATTCAACCAACTGAGGCTCTAAAACAGCATCTTTGCATTCGCAGCCGCAGATTCGCAGCCGCGGATTCGCAACCGCGGATTCGCAGCTGCAGATTCGCAACTGCAGATTCACAACCGGGGATACTGTTTCCATCCACAGTTTTGGCGACTCTGCATGGGGAAGGCTGAACGGTAGAGTGAGAAATTCTACAGGGACCTCCTGGGGGCTTGGCACGGGTAACCCCTGGGCTGTTGGAGGGTCAACTGTACTCGCTCACTTTGGGCCTCTCCTTCTGGACTGTTCATTATTTGCATCTCTTTGCGGTTTTGCTCTGAAGTATTAACTGCGCCTCATTTTCCCGGCCCGCTATGTGGCTTGCAACAGGGACCACCCTTTTTGGGGGGAATCCATCTTCTTAATTTAATTTTTTTTTATTTTAGTTCAGAAATCAGGTCTAAAAGTCCGGGAAGTCATTTTTGGGTTTCGGTTGTGTTTATCTAAGTTTTGCTTGTTTTCATTTTAGTCTTATGTAGTAAACCAAGACTTGGGCTTTAAAAATAACCAAATAATACGCTGCTGCATTTTCAAGAGAGATTATCGTGCCCTGTGACAGTTGAACATGCCCTCCATCTCTTCTCAAAAGGAAGTTTATTATGTGTGCCCCCTTACCTGAGGTACATCAGGCCCTTGGATCAGGGCCCTGCGCAGAGCGGGGTGGCAATAAATGTGGAAGCTTTGCCCGTGTCTGATGGAAAAGCATTCCAGGTAGAGGGACCTGCAGGTGCAAAGGCCCTGAGGCGGGACCTGTGCCTGATCCATGGGAGAGAATTCTGAGTCTCCTCTCCCTTCCATTTTCTCTCTCAAAATTGACAAGCACAAGTGTCGCCCGCCCAAATGCTGCAGAAAGCCTCTGTCCCCATGACCCAGCCGCTGTCTCTTTAACCTTGAATGCTTTTTTGGGTCTCAAGTGTCACCAGGTGGCGAGTGAGCTGCCCTGACTTCAGAAGAAGGGCATGGGGTGGGGCGGGGGAGGCCCTAGGTGGGGCGGGCCTCACCTATTAACTGCCAAAAGTGGTCATGGGGTTATTTTTAAACCTGGGGAGGAAGTATTTATTGTTCCTGCCGAGGAGAGCGGGGCAGCCTGTGGGATTCTTCCAGGGAACCGGTCAGTGCTGAGTCCTTCCCACCATGGTGAGTAGCAGGGGCTCTGGGAGGTGAGTGACGCTGGGTGGGCAGGAGGGGACGCCCCCTACAAGCAAAGGACTGGGGGGGGGAGGTGGCTTTTGAGGACCCCGGGTCCCGGTGGGAAAAGCGCTGCTCGCTGTGCGTGCGCAGAGGAACCCTAATCGATGCCCTGATAAGCCACAAATAACAGCAGCTCCCGGGGACCTGCAAAAACAAAATAAGAGAGCTGGCTTTTTTATGGCTTGTCTACTGACCTCTGGAGGAATCAATAACTCCCAGGGCTTGCAAAATGGGATTGAGCGCTTTTAAGGATCAAATTGTAATTCTCTTCTCTTGTTCAGGCAGCTGGGGAAAAGATCTTTTTGTTTTCACCTTTTGAACTTGCAAAATTAAAACCTTTCTCCGTGCGTTGTTTGGTTAGGTGGCCCCCTCCCGAAGCTGGGAGCCCCCAAATTAGGGTCAGCGCAGGAGAATGGTGAGGGTCACAGACCCCGGAGCCAGGCTGCCCAAGTTCAACCCCAGCTCTGCCTTTTTTGTGACTGTGTGAGCTTAGGCCAGTGACCCAACCTCTCTGAGTCTCAGTTGCCTCCCCAGTTTAAAACGGTGACAATAATAACAGTATCTACTTGACAGGGCAGTTGCGAGGGTTCAATGGGACAACGGAGGTGCAGCGTCGAAGCATTTGCTGTAACTATTTAAAGTCAGAGAGACGCGCGCGGCGAAATGCTAGCTCGCCCCTCTGCGCGGTGCAAGGCCAGATATTTAGAGATTTCGCTGCCATTTGGAACAAGGGAAAATCGTGTGTGGAGGCGGGCGAGCGGTCGGGTTTTAACACCCTGAAAAAGTGTCATTTCATCTCGACATTCCTCATGGTTTAGTGAGCCTGACCCCCCC